ATCCCTCTGGAATAACTTTGCTTCTTTATAACTTAACCTTTCTCTTCTTGCCCTTCATCTACAATATGACTGCTATATTTGTGTGGTGAACAGAAAGTAACTCAAGCTGCTATTTGCATATTCATTTTCTTCAGTTCATTGTTTCTCATATTATCAGTTTACCACCCCATGGAAGTTAACATGCATTTTGATTGGCATTGGGAGAAAACTTATGAATATTGCTCATATTTTTATATAGTACTACTTAAGCTGAAACATTTTTCAGAAGTTTAGCCGCCAAAGACAGAAAATTGCATCAGTATTTATGAGATTATTTATTTATATTATTCTTATAAAATGTCATATAAATATAGAATTGTGTTGTTTTATATCAAAGGTCACCGGAAAGACCTACAGGTGACCTCCGAGAAAGAATGAAGAACAAGCGTCAGGATGTGGACAGTGAATCCCAGAAACGGAACACAGAGGAGTCATCCTCACCTGTTAGGGTAGGCTAATTTACGACTCACCTAAATTTCACTAGTCATTTAGTCCATGATTTCCATTTTAAATAGGAAGTGGTGTGCTAAACACATGGTAAAGCCATGACTAGACATTACAGTGTCCTGTGTGAACACATGTAAGTTTGTTTGGTTTGTTTTGTTACTTTTTTTCAAGACAGGGTTTCTCTGTGTAGCACTGGCTATCCTGGAACTTGCTCTGTAGACCAGGTTGGCCTCGAAATAAATGTAATTTAAGGGGCAGGGAAAACAGTCCGTTCTTCTGTGTATTTAAAATGAAAGGGATCGACCAGCAGAGCTCAGGCTGCACTTAGAAGGTTTTGTACCTCCCAGACCTCAGGAGTGCCTACATGCAGTGTACAGTTTCAGAGTTCAAGGAGCTGCCGTAGTTCTCAAGGACATTTACAGTTGTGTGGCTAGCCCTGTGGTCACTTTTCATCCTTCTGCAAAGAAACTCCACATTTTCCAGCAATCACTCCTGTTGTCCCACTGACTGTGAGCCCTAGGCAGTCATGAAATCACTTCTTGTTTTATGAATTGTTAACCCTCTGTGCTTATATAATGTGTCATCTTGTGACTAGTTTCCTTCACCCAGTTTTTAACACTTATGGAAAATTATAAGATGCATTACTCTCGTCTGTTTTTCCAAAGAATATTCCATTGTATTAGAATTCCATATTTTGCTCATTCACTTCTCTTTGATGACTATTTGGGCTCTTTCCATCCCCCCTCTCCCAATATTGTGAATGAGAACATTTATGTACAAGGTTTTGTTTAGCATGAGTTCATTTGTCTTGGTTTAATCCTGGAGAACAGAATTGGTGAATCCGTGGTCTCTTAGTTACTCTCCTGCTGCTGTGACAGAATATCTGACGGAAACAACCTAAGGAAGGGTTTCTTCTGGCTCAGTTTGAGGGCCAGTGTGCACGTGGCATGGCTGTGTGGAAGCAGGAGCACAGGCCATTTGCATCCACAGCCAGCAAGCAGAGAGCAGTGAGCGCTGTGCTCAGCCCCCTTTCTTCTGTAGGATGGAGTTCCCCACTTCAACCAACCAGCGTTGAGTCTAGATCTTGTCACTAGATCTTGTCACAGTGGGCGGAGTCAGTGTTAGCACGCAGTGTGAATGCTGCTCTCTCTGGAGGGTCTGCCAAAGCAGTGCTTCTCAACCTTCCCAGTGCTGCGGTCATTTAACACGTGCTGTGCTGACCCCAACCCCAAAACTGTTGTTGTTGCTACTTCATAACTGTAGTGTCATGAGTTGTAATGTAGATATCTGATCGACACACACAGTGAGAACCGCTATGCTACACTGTCGTTTAGAGGTTGCGTCATCGTTTTTACTTCTAGACAGTGGGATATGAAAGTTCCGGTTTCCCCATTTTTTTTTTTTCCAGCTCCTAATCTAATTGTGGTTTTACTTTGTGTCTCCCTAATAACTAAGGATGCCAAGCATTGTGTACATACTCACTGGCTGTTGGTGCATATTTGGAGATACTCTGCCCATTTTTAAAATTGAGCTGTCTTTATTGAGTTGTAAGAGTTCTTTATATCTTGAGTATAGGTAAAATATATTCTTTGAAGGTTTCAAGTTTTCCAATTTTTTCTAGTTAGTAATAATGTGAAATAATTGTGTATTTATATATCATAAAATTTCTAAGCTGGGCAGTGGTGGTGCACGCCTTTAATCCCAGCACTCGGGAGGCAGAGTCAGGCAGATCTCTGTGAGTTCGAGTCCAGCCTGGTCTACAGAGCAAGTTCCAGGACAGGCACCAAAGCTGCACAGAGAAACCTTGTCTTGAAAAGTTAAAAAAAGAAAAAGAAAAAAAAAATTCTAAGATGAATTGTTCTGCTTTACCAGTGTTTAATACAAATCTGGGTAATTTCCTTTTAAGTTAAAAATAGCAAAAAATAAAATCACTGTTCTAAAATTTTGTTTTTATTCCTTTAACTATTTTTACTCTGAAATAAGTTAAAATTTAAGAAAATTTATCAGAATTAGCATACAATTCCCATGTTTGCTTTCATTTTTAAGGTGCCTAAAACAAATTTTCTACCATTCTGTGCATTGTTGTTCCTTTTTTTAATTGTCTAAGTTGGGGCAGTGTCTTACTGTGTCACCCGGCCTGCAGTAGATACATCAGGTGATCGTGCCTCAGCCTCTCTGGGAACTGGTACTACATAGGCTCTCAGCATCAGACACAGCTCTCGTGTGTGTGTGTGTGTGTGTGTGTGTGTGTGTGTGTGTGTGTGTGTGTGTGTGCGCGCGCACACATCTGATTCCTTAAAACATAAGTCAGCTTTTCTGAGTTCCCATGACATGTGTTGACTAGATGAACTGTAATTAGTTAATATAAGGTACAGGCACAAGGATTTACAATGTGAATACAGTACCTCTAGGTATTGTTAGCTAAACTCTATCAGTTTCCTCATCTATAAATTAGGAATTGGCTTTGTTGGTATGTTATGATGATGGGTGTGATTGGCCATTTTATGCTGACTCTTAATAATACACTAATATAATGGTTAAAATGGCTTTTCTGTTCTCTAAATTGACTTTAGTCTCTTAGCAGAAATTGGATGTGAGCATTAATTTAGGTTGTGAACACACACACACACACACACACAGTTATAAAGGCTTATATGTTTAGATCACATTAGTAGATAGCAAAGTTGACTATTAAGAAATTGAAAGTCTAGGGTTAGAGAGATGGATCAGCAGTTAAGAGCACTGGCTTCTCTTCCAGAGGACCTCAGTACAATTCCTAGCACCCACATGATGCTCACTACTGTCTGTAACTGCTGTCTCAAGGGATTAGATTCCCCTTGTAGCCTGTGAGAGAACCAGGCATGCAAGTGATGTACAGACATACATCCAGGCAAAACACTTATGCACATAAAGTGAGTAAACCTTAAGAGAAAAGCAAGTAAAAACTTGATTCTTGCTTTCATCTCTGATGTATTCAGCAGCATATGATGCATATGATGCTGATCTTCATGTAGTGGCTTCCTGTCAGAGGTCAGATTGATTTTAAGGAAGGGCAGCATCATATGGATAACACAGGCAGAGCTGAGATAAACATGTGATTTTTCAGGGAGTTAACAGATTTACTCCTTCTTTGTCACTGATATTTACTCCAGTATGTCTAAATTATAAGGTTGCTGGATTATCCTTGATTTTGTGGAGAGGCAACTTCATAAATAAACCAATTGTAATTCCTTTTTTTTTTCTTTTTCGGTTTTTTGAGACAGTATTTCTCTGTGTAGTTTTGGAACCTGTCCTGGATCTCACTTTGTAGACCAGGCTGGTCTCGAACTCACAGAGATCTGCCTGGCTCTGCCTCCCGAGTGCTGGGATTAAAGGTGTGCGCCGACACTGCGCGGCCCAATTGTAATTCCATAGTGTGTGAGATGCAAGCAAAGTGCACAGTGGGCAAAGTAAACAACTCCCTGCAGAACTGGAGAACCACAGGGAAGGAGAGGTTTGTGGGTGAGTAGCCAAAGGGGGGTGGGAATGACGCAGTTCATTAAGGAGGGTTTTAAAGGACTGCTGCCATGCTCTAGCTGGGTGCTGTGCGCTTGTGTCCTGCTGTCGCGTTGGAGTGAGGTTGAGTGCTAAGTAGGTACCGGTCAGTTCACTTAAACAGAAGTGCTTCTCATGTTCAGCCTCAGTTGGGAAGTCTTCGTGGCCTTGTCTCAATTGAAGTGTGCTCTAAGTGTAAACTATGTACTGAGCTTCAGATACTTGGTATGAAAAGTAAATAAATCTCAGTTTCCACTGCATTTCATATTGAAATGACAGATATTGATGCATTAAGTTAAATGAAATACATTAACATTTTAATTTTACCTGCTTTATTTTTCTTTCTGATGTGGCAATGAAGAATGGAAAGGTTGCCAGTGCACTTTAATAAGTGCCTGCTTGATGTGAACCAAATGTTATGCAGTTGAATCTACAGAACCTTACAAATATACTCATTGAATTGTGTTCTAGTCTCTGACAGAGGCTTGTTATTTTACAGAATTTGAACATAGCAAAGAAATTATCACTGAGAGAAGAATTGACCCTGAATATAGTCAGTGAGAAAATTTGTTAGTGATAAAGGCATAAGTGTGTCCTGGGAGCTGTCCCTTAAGAGAAGCTGTGCAGCAACATTTCAGAGTAGGTTAAATGATTCATCGTAATGAGAAAGTATCTGTTAGAGTTTAGAGACCCTCTCTGGCTGTTCCCTTGTTTATGTAGACCCTTTCCTCAGGATCGATGGACAAGAGCAGTGGTTTAGTTTTACCTCTACATGTTGGTTTTTTTTTTTTCCCTTTAGTTTCTATTGTGATAAAATAGATACAAGATTTGTCATTTGAGATTTGTTTCAGTTGTTGTGTTTTGTGGTGTTTCTCGGTTGCTTTTGAGACCGGCTCTGATACTGCCAATCAGAGTGGCCTCAAACTTCGAATCCTCCTGCTCTCACCTCAACTCCTCAGATGCCACCGTGCCCAGCTATGATGGTAATTTAAATGTTGATTAATTCAACTGCTTTAACCTGTCATTTGTATGCCCATTTCTAGTTCTGCAATGAACAGTTCAGAGATTTTTCTTCTGAAACTTAGAGTGATATTCCCTTTTCATTCTCCAAAATCGTCAGTTGCTTTAATTTTCTGCCTTCAACCTGATTACTTATCTTGAGATAGAGACTCCGGTTTAGACTTGATTTTATGATGGGTCAGTTTAATTGGGCTATTACTTAAATTACTTTTTCAGATTTCACTGTGTAGGTGGAGCTCAAAATGATTGGCCAACATCTCTCCTATTCTAGGTGTGTTATTCTGACATCACATAAATACTATACTAGATCTTTTCCTACTCTTAGTTGCCAAGTTCTGTGCTATTATGAATCAAAACTGTTTCTAGTACAGAGTGCATTGTGTCTGGGAGAGCTTTCTTCAAGAGTGCACTGGTTTGTCCAACAGTCCCCTCCTTAACTGTCTTACAC